TTTTTTTTTTTTTTTTTAACATTTCATCAGTTCTGTTTTAGAGAAGGAGTCTTAAGACCCTGACTCATCTTCCTACAACATGCCCACATTTTATTTTTATGGCTACTCACATCATTGAAGTGCTGGCTGGTTTTCATAATGTAAGGTGTTCTTTCATTTTTATCCAGCTTCATCCACCCCTGCCCAAGAAATTCTCTGTAAGTTCAAAACAGAACACAAGACCAATTTAGTTTCTTAAATGGTGGCTATGATCCTGAACAATGAGTATGATTATTATATACATTAACTTTGACATTGCCCAACATCTAGTGCTCCTGACCGACTCAAATGAATTTTTGCTCATCTCTAGCATTTTACCACTCGATGTCAAAAGAAAAAGATTTTTCAATTTCCACCTTTTTCTTAGAAGAGTTTGAACTTTGTAAGGATTACGATCATTATAAAAACTTCTCTGAAAGTGGTAAACAATGCCCAACACAGAAGGAATAAAGTACTAATTCAGAAACCAAGACTATTTTCACTGGATCAGCTTTAAAAAATCTTAAGCCTTGGGGAGCCTAGGTGGCTCAGTCAAGTTAAGCATCTAACTTCAGCTCAGGTCATGATCTCACAGTTCATGACTTCGAGCCCCACAAAGGTCTCTGTGCTGACAGCTCAGGGCCTGAAGCCTGTTTCATATTCTGTCTCCCTCTCCCTCTGTTCCTCCCCACTCAAGCTCTGTCTCTCTCTCTCAAAAATAAATAAACATACATACATACATACATACATACATACATACATACATAAATAAATGAAAAATCTTAAGCCTTAGCAGAAGGTCCAAAAAAATCCATCACCACCAAAAACGTTAACCAAGAACAACATGTTTTCCTCCACTTTGCTCTGATATTCTCCAGGACAATGTCAATTCCACGGGCAGGGATTTTCCTTTATTCTCCCCAGAGCCCAGAACGGTACACATGGTAAAGGCTGAATAAACAAACACTGTTGTTACCACTTCATGTAGTGAAGGCAGTTACAGGGGTGGGAGCTCAGCCTGGTGGAAGGTCTTTCTTCAGAATAACATCCCTGCTCCTTCACTTCACCCATGAGCAGGCCACCAGATCACAGCAAGCAAGGGACAATCAAGCTGGAGCATACAGGGATTATTTTGTATAGGCATTACAAAAAATAACCTGAAATGCAATTACTCTGACACAGTCTTAATCCAGAAATGTTGGCTGAGTCCCTGCAAAGGGTTTTTTTGTTCCTTCATGTTCCTGCAAGGCTGTTGGACATAAAGGTGTGCCAGTTCCACAGACAAAAATAATTGGTAGATGTTCCCATCAGCAGGGTGGGGACAGAGAAGAGAAGAGAGGAAGGGTCCCAGGAAGGGTCCTAGGAAGAGACCACCCATGGGTGTTCAGCCTTTCTCTTTCTCTTCCTCCACAGAGGTCATGTTCATCTCCCCACCAAATCCCCACTGCACTAGAGGGGAGTGAGGAGGTGGGGCTGGGGGTGGGGGGAGAGGCACTGTGGTTTCTAACTCAAGTCTTCACTCCAGTAGTCACTGGGTTCATTTGTAGAGCCAACAGGCCACATTCCTTCCCTCCATCCCCTGCCCCGCTTGTTCCTGGGTAGAGAGGCAGGGAGGGGAAGAAGATAAAACACATAAAAGAAAAGTCTGCAGGGGCATCTCCTGGCCTCGCCCCTTATGCCTCTCTGACACAGCTGCAGCTCTGACCACCCATCACCATACCTGACTCTCCATCATCACGATGTCCTCTTTTCTACACACAACATGGGTCACCGTTCATATCTCATGCCCAGCCCCTGCTTTACCGGCAATTTAGCTATTTCACAGAGGACATGTGCCAACAGTTGTCATTTGTACAGACAAAGGCCTTGTTTGTGGAGCTACGGATCGTTACAGCTTGAAGGGGTCTAAAGGCCCTCTTCATCCACTACATGGGAAGATTAAAGGGCAGCAGTGATACTGATGCTCGTTACTTGGCAGCTCATGCAGCACGTCTACACTCCACATGCACCCCGTGCAAAGCTGTCTCGGGAATCTATGCTGCTGCAGCGTCTCAAAGTTCAGCAATACTTGTTGGCTCGTGGAAGTGGGTGAATAGTTGTAGCAAAATGTATAGCTTCACCCAACATCGGTGCTTCTCAACGTATTGTCTTAGATCACGCAATATTATCTGGGATTCCCACTGAAAATGCAGTTTCCTGGGCCTCAAACCTCCTAGAATCACAAATCTCAGAAGGAGGTATCTAGGAATGTACATTTTTAATAAGCTTCCCAAATGATTTTAGACACCATGAAGTTTGAGAACCACTGTTACAGCCATATTGAGGTTTCTATAATGCGAGGATGTGAGAATACGAAGAAATTCACATTCCACGGGAACTACAGAACATAGAGAAACACAAGAGTGACCATCTTGATAGTCCTCAGTGTTGCCAAATCAATATTTCTAGAATAAACTGTGACCAAAAGGCATTCAAGTGGGACCAAACCATTGTAAGATTAAGACTCACACCTCTGTGCACACACATCTGCCTTAGGAATAATGGCGGCTCTAAGCCCACAAGTCCTGCCTGAGGGAGCCTGCAGCCGTGAGGGCCACACTCACTCGTAGGGAATGCTTCTGAAAATGATGTGGTCCAGGAGGGTGATCTGCTCAGCCAGCTCCATGGCTGACAAGGTCTCAAAGCACTCAGCCTTCGGACAGTCTGTCTGCAAGAGAGGAAGGTGGGAATGAAACACACCGAGAGCGAGGTGCCCAGCAGCTCAAGGCAGCTGCTCAGGAACAAAGTCCATCACAGATTGGGGCTACAAAGAAAATGGCAAAAAGCTCAGAAACATCAGCCAACATTAATATCATGGACCAACAGCTAAACCCCAAGTCGAATTTAGTTCATCTCACAGTGCTTCATTGGTAGAACTACGGTTGAGCATGCAGGTATCAGTTATGGGCAAGTTGTTTGCCTCTGAGAAGCAGTTTGCAAATAATCATGCTGAATAAGACCATGGCTTGACTTACCAGTTGAATTATATCCTCTAATTTTAGGTGGATGTCATCCTGATCATCTTGTGAAAGGGCCCTAAAAAATGAAATCAAAGTATCATCCATGGAAAGAAACATGCCAGGAACAAAATGACAACATGCACTTGGTTCTCCCTGGGTGGGAAGCTGAGGGGTTCGGGTCCATGAGGCTGTGCTGCCAGCTGGAGCCTGCAGAGACATAAGCTGGAGACAGGAAGTCAAGGAAACAGAAAAACACACACGTTAGAGGCACAGGAAGATCATAGAGAGAGCTGGCTTATATCGAGGAGCCAACTTGTTACACACAAGGTTGTAAATAAAACATCCACAATCGGGGCGCCTGGGTGGCTCAGTCGGTTGAGCGTCCGACCTCGGCTCAGGTCATGATCTCACAGTCCGTGAGTTCAAGCCCCGCATCGGGCTCTGTGCTGACAGCTCAGAGCCTGGAGCCTGTTTCAGATTCTGTGTCTCCCTCTCTCTCTGACCCTCCCCTGTTCATGTTCTGTCTGTCTCAAAAATAAAAAATAAACGTTAAAAAAAAATCCATAATCAAGGTGAACCCGAGCGTGAGCTGGTGTGCTCTGCACTACCGAGAGGATCCAGGCTGTGAGTTCAAGTATCCTGCGATCCCATCAGTCAGAGATTCCAATGGGCCTGAGTGCCTCATCCACACTCCTCTAGCTCCCACCCTGGCCCTTCCGTGCTGATGCTGAGGCAGAAGAGGCAGAGGACCCCCTCCCATTGCACATGTAGACAGAAGCTCCGAGAAATTCCTGGTTGGCAAGAATCTGAACAGTGCAAAGCAGAAGCCAGCAGGTAAACTCTTTTCCCTTGATTCCCAGATGGACTTTCCCAAGATGCATTTGGTGCTATATCCCCACACACAGAGTTATTCAGCTCTCAGTATTTTTTTTCAGTGATGAATGACTGAATAAATACATAAGTTAATGAATCCTGAAGTGGGTGCGGGTTTCAGAGTGGGAGTGACATTTCATGTCCAACAGAAGTTCAGAGTCCAGGAGAATTATACTGATTACATAACTTACCATCTGGGCCAAGCATTTTAAGCCTTCCAAAATGAAGACACAATCACATATTAAAAATACTGAAATATTTAAACAGTCCCAAACCATGTAGCCTGTCTGCTGTAGGAAGGTAGTTTTAAAAGAAATAATGGGGGCACGTCAGTAGCTCAGTTGCTTAAGCGTCTGACTCTTGATCTTGGCTCAGGTCATGATCTCAAGTTTCATGACTTCGAGCTCCATGTCAGGCTCTGTGCTGACCGTGTGGAGCCTGCTTGAGATTATCCCTCTCCCTCTCTGCCCCTCCCCTGCTTGCACATGCTTGCACTCTCTTTCACTCTCTCTCTCTCTCTCAAAATAAATAAATACAATTAAAAACTAAAATAAATAATGATGTGATGTTCTGTTGTGTTCCGAATTGATGAAAACAGAACTACAACCCTCAAAAATACAAAAGCAACAGAGATAGGGTACCATATACACGCTACATGCCAGCCGTGCGTTAACCATCTGACAAACACTCTCTCTTGTGTCATATGAGATCCCTTTGAGGTAAGCATTATGAGGTCCATTTTACAGATAAGGAAACCAAAGCTCAAGGGGACTGACTAACTTGCCCAGGGTTTGGTCAGCTGTGCTGTCCTGTTGCTCTTGCTTATCTTAGGCAGACTTATAAAGACACCTCTTCAAGGCTCCAGCGTAGAACACACATCCAGAAATGTCCAGTCTCTTTCCTCTCTTTTCCTCTCTTACAAAAGCTCTTGGCTGTTTAGCAGAGGAGCAAAGGACTGTTTACCAAGGAGAAGATTCCTTCTAGATTCTAGTAGTGGTGGTCCTCTTCTTAGCAATGAGCCATATCATTTGCAATCAAAAAGAAATATTCATAATACGATAAAAGGCAGATTGAGGTGAGGAAAAAATAAGCAAACACAAGTCTTTCTCCAAAGATTATTAAATCCTACCTAAGGATTACACACACGGGATAAAAGTGACTATTTCCCAAAGCTCATGTCATTCTTTCCAGGGTAGTTTGGGTTCCTGGAGAGAGATCGGTGGCCACATAACTATGTGTACCCATGGAAAAGATATTTTTTAATGAGGCTGGGTAATATTCTTTCCTTGGAAAGAAGTGGTCAAGAAAGTAGTTAGCTTCTATCAAATGTTCCTTTCCTCAGTGATCTCATGTTAATGTTCCAAGATACATCTAGTCTGGTTAAATTATCTAACATTTTCTCCTCTCACAAGTGCCTATTGATGCTGCTCGGGGCTTTGTGATGTTTGTGGGTCACCTTTTCATGACCTGACCCATTCCAGCTGACTACCTATGAAGCCAGTCTTTGTTTCTTTTCCTTTCATGGCATGTTAGTTGTCTACCAAAAACTCTCTGCCACATAGATTCAGAACAGCAAGTCCATACAATGTCACAGGGGGAGCAGTATTTAGAAATAGAAAAGTCTCGAGCCGAGGGTTTTATTCACAAAGAAGACAACAAACTATGTATGCCAATTAAGTTTCTTCCTCATAAAGTAATCCCTGTGAGACCGTGTGGGGCAGAGATGGTTCATCATTGGAAGCATCCAGGTTACTGTATAAAGGTAATATATGTTTAAATACATTTCATGTTTACATCTCACTGTTACACAGCTTGATTGCATATAAATATCTCATGTCTGGGCTACCTCTAACTACAGTGCGATATGTCTTTATCTCTCGCAACCACAACTTGTATTCACTGGGAGGTATGTTCACATATTTTCCCTTAGATGTGAAAACTCTGGTCCAGCTCCAATACTGGATGGATTTGCTTCTAGTCTCCTGACAGCTTTAGCGCTTTGATGCCCACTCCAGGATACTGGGTTTCTCTCACATCTCCCAGTCAGCATGATCTGTTTAATATTTGTGCGTTTATAATAACAACACCAGATAAATTTTATTTATCTAATTTTATTTTTTTATTTAAAAAAGTTTTTAAACATTTTATTTATTTTTGGTGAGACAGACAGAGCGTGATTAGGGGAGGGGCAGAGAGACAGGGAGACACAGAATCCAAAGTAAACTCCAGACTGCAAGCTGTCACCATACAGCTCGATGCAGGGCTTGAACCCACAAACTGTGAGATCATGACCTGAGCTGAAGTCGGATGCTCCAGATAAAAAATTTTAAAGGAAATGGGATTATTCAAGTTCTATGACTGGAAAAGTGCTCCTTCAACAGTAGAAATCAGATAGTCTTAAAAACTGAGCTAAGAGTAACTGCCCTCTGTCCTCAGACTGGTCCACACTCTCTGGGCTGCCTGCTGTGACTAAGACTGGCTGGCTTGTGCTCCTGGCATGACCTGCCTGCCCCAGTCTCTGCTCCTCCTCACTTTGTGAGGTTTAATCACTTGTTGCTTCCCTTCTGGGACCTGCCAGACCACCTCTTCCTTCCTTTGCTTTCTTAGACGTGGCTTTACTTCCCTCTAGGCTCTCTTGAGCCCATTGCTACCCTTGCTCTGGCATATCTTAGAAATGCATGGAAACTTTCAGTACTGAAATCTCATGGCTTGGTTGGAAATAATTCCATTTGTTTCCAAATTAAGAAATGAATTAACAGGAACATCTTTGTAATTTTCAGGGTTACTAAATAATCCTTCTGATTTCTGTTTCTTTCTCATATACTCCATGATGGCTTCTTTTCACAAAGAGATTTCATGAATGATGGCATCCCATCAGGGATGGTTATATCTAGGTGTTACTTCCTACTTCACCCTCTAATCATTTTGACATGATTGTAAAAATATAAATATAAGGGCGCCTAGGTGGCTCAGTCGGTTAAGCGTCCAACTCTTGATTTTGGCTCAGGTCATGATCTCACAGTTTCTTGACTTCGAGCTCCATGTCAGGCTCTGTGCTGACCATGTGGAGCCTGCTTGAGATTCTCCCTCTCTCTATGCCCCTCCCCGGCTCGCACTTTTCTCAAAAATAAATTAAAGAAGAAATAAAACTATAAATATATAAGTATCATACATATAAACATAAGTATCTGATTCGGTAAGTTATCAGAAACTCTAACAAATGAATGTATCATTTATTCCTCTTTTAATCACAATCTTGTGTGCTGGGGCAGGGACCCTTAAGCTTAGTGCCGGTGGAATGACTTACTTGACAGGGGAACTTCAGTCAATGATCAGTAGTTTTCTGGCACCACCTAGCTTCCTAGGAAGGTGTCTCAGAGAACCAGCTGACCCAACTGGAACTTGAGGTCTGGTTGTCTGCTCAGTTAAAATGGGCTAGTGATCCCAATGGTATCCATCTGCTTTAGTTGATATGCTCAGGGCTAAACAAAGGCTTTTGTTTCACTTGGCCTCATGGGAATAAAGATGGTCAAAGGAAGAAGAATGGATGGCACAATATCTATTCTCTGCTTGGCTCTGTGAGTACATGTGGAACGGTGACAAATTGTGGTACCAGGAACTAAAGGAGCTATTTTCACAAGAGCCTGAGACTCTAGGTTGAGTGAGGCATGCTCTGGGGCCCATGTGGCTCAGGAATGGGGCAGGTGGCATCTTTGCCAGCTTTTTGATAGGGAAATGGTGGCTTCAGAAGACGGTCAGGCAGCATGCTAGACAGAGACAGTGCTGGCACTGATAAGGTCTCTCCCTCAAATGGTCTTGGGTCAGTGAACTTGAATAAAGATGCTGAGGCAGAGGGGAGTCTGGGTGGCTCAGTCGTTGAGTGTCCAACTCTTGATTTTGGCTCAGGTCATGCTCTCATGGTTTGTGTGTTCGAGCCCCAGATTGGGCTCTGTGCCAAAAGAACGAAGCCTGCTTGAGATTTCCTCCCTCTCTCTCTCTCTCAAAATAAAATAAACATTTAACTGCCTTTTGGCTTTGCTTTTTACTTCTTTTTTTCTTCTCGTTTACAAAATAGCAAGTGGGTTATAACTATGGTTTTTTGGTAACAACTATATTGAGATATAATTCCCATATTAAATGATTCATCTGCTTGGAGTGTACATTTGAAAGATTTTTGTATTACATTCACATCATTGTGCAATATGAAATTGGGTTTCAATGTTATTATAATCTCTTTTGTATAGATAAAATGATGAAGCCCAAGGAAAGTCGAGTTTGAGTAAGACCCTACTTGGGCCATATTTCCTTGATGGAAGAAACTATTTTTCCTAAGAGCTATGGTCGGTGCTAATAATAATAATAATAATAATAATAATAATAAGTGCAGCAGTAATACAAGTGCTATGTTTCAGGCATTGTGTTAACCTCTTTAAACATATGATACCATGTAATCTTTATAACCATTCAATAGTAGGTACTATTCGCCTCATTTTATAATTGAGGGAACTGAGGTTTAGACTGGTTAAGAAACTGGACAGCTTTAAGTGGCTGAACCAAGATTATACCCATGAACCCTGTGAAAATAAGAATCAGACTCTGCTCCGTGTCATGCTCCCAGGCTGTACCATCTACTAACATTTCTATTTCTTATTGATTTCACACCTCTAATTCTCAGGCCATTTATTTAACAAAAAGAATTTGCACATCTTAAGCCTGATGAATAATAACGACTTGGGATGGTAAACAGGATTCATCTTAAATGCCAACTCCAATTAATGGCGTGCTGGTCAGTGGAGTTCTAAGCTCACCCCCTGGTGCAGGCAGAAAGCCCTCAGGATTGATTAGTAATGTCTGGTGTGGATGTTGTGAGAGAATGGGCAACATGGGTTTGCACATTCACCAATCCTGTCTGAACACCTCATTTCCCTGCCAGCTGTCCAGTCAAATGTCCCTGGGGGCACAAACTTCCAGAAAGTGGTTTCAAAATGTTAGTGTTTTAAATACAAAGAGCATAATAACCTGTGTACGTAAAGAAGAAAGGACTAGTAATCATTCACAGATATAACCACACATTCACTGAAACCAGGCTTTATCTGAAAATGTATTTACAATTTAAATCTGAAAATAAACATAGTAACAGAGCCCCTAAGCTTCTTTAGGTGTTTTCATAGCATGGAAAAAGTGAAGAGGGCCTTTAATAGATTCCTAGAGTTGCCCTAATAAAGTACCACAAACTGGGCATACTAAAACAATAGAAATTCATTGCCTTAGAGTTCTGCAGGCCAGAAGCCCAAGACCAACGTGTCGGCAGAGCCACGTTCCCTCTGAATCCTGTCGAGGAATCCTCTCTTGACTCTTTCTAGACTTCTTCTTTTTTTTAATGTTTACTTACCGTTTTTGAGAGAGAGACAGAGAGAGAGAGAGAGAGAGAGAGAGAGCGCGCGCGCGCACGCGCACAAGTGGGGGAGGGGCAGAAAGAGAGGGGGCCAGAGGAGATGAAGTAGGCTTTGCGCTGACAGCCCAGAGCTGACGCAGGGCTCAAACTCATGAATGGTGAGATCATGACCTGAGCCGAAGTCAGATGCTCAAACGACTGAGCCACCCAGGCACCCGCCTCGTTCTAACTTCTAGTGGTTTGCCAGTAATCGGCATTTCTGGCCTTGCAGCTGCCTCACTTTCATCTTTGCATCATCTTCACACGGCATTCTCTCTGTGTCTTGCTCTGTCTTCACATGGTCATCTTCTTATGAGGACACCAGTCATATTGGATTAGGGGCCCACCCTATTCCAGTAGGACTTCCTCTTAATTAATTACATCTGCATTGGCCCTATTTCCAGATCACATTTTGTGGTACTCAGGGTTAGAACTTCAACATACCTGTTGTAAAGCAGACACACTCCACCCACAAGAGCCCCTAGACCAAAGAAGTGTCTGGTGACAGGATCTTGAGCTAATGGTAGTAAGAATGACTTATGAGCCAATTGCTAAAAGGCTGCAGACCAAAATCTGGCATGGCTGCATCAGAGAGGGACTTCCAAAAACATAGTAGACTGAATTAAGATGGAATCCTCTCAGAAAGCTGGATAACAAGGAAACAATATATTCAAGGTTAGAAGAAAGAAAGGCCTCTTTCCAGAGACTGTAAATGAAGACAGAACTAGAAGTCAAAATGGTAAAGGGGTACCAGGCTCTAGCAGATAGATGCTGGGCTTCCCACCGCCAAGCAGGGACAGACGATATAGCCATGAGTCAGGAAAGCTATAACCGAAATGTCTGCACGAAACCCCTGATGGCTGTCCTCCTGCTATAGAGCGTACTAGAAAAGAACTCCACCCACCCACCAGTTCAAGAAGCTGTAAGAAAGCCTGTGACCTCTTTGGATGCTGGGTGTAATGATAGACACAAACAGTCTCTTGTGGGAAACCCAAAGTTCAAGCTTTTATCACACAGACGTCCAAAGTTATACAACCTGTATGATGTGGGAATCCCAACCTGAGAAGTCAGTAAAGCTGGTCTAGGACTTGCGACACGAGCTGAAGAAAATACACAACTACTATCTGGTGGCACATCCACAAGCCAGGAGCACAAGACTCTCACCGAAATGCCACCACCAGCTCATCAACATGAGCTTACAACAAACAACTAGAACCGACGGCAGGAAAACATCATCTCTCTGCAATGCCTGCTGGAGTCACAGGAGAGGATCCTCAAGGCATCCGCTTCTCCGCTTTTGGTCCTGCAGCAAACCACGCTCTGCCCACACAAACAGGAGCAGCTGCACTCCTGGGCCCCACACAAGTCACGTCGCCCAGTCCAAGTGTTCCTGAGGCAGCGTGCGCCAATCTGCCCCCAGAAAAGAGACGATACGTAATACCTTGCCAGTGACAGCAGAACCCCTGCTGCCCCCAGGAGTCTCAGATACATCTTTCTGATTCGATAGGATCTTATTTTCTGGAACAAAGCACAAACCAACCAATGTAATTAGGAGGCACCTGAAAACTGCACTTACCTCAGAATATTCGCCGTGGCTTTCCTTTCTTGGGGAAGAAGGTCTGGGTCTCGCAAAACTTCTTCTAGCAAATTTAGGACATTCATTTTTAGTTCGTTGTTGAGCTCAAAATCCTATAAAATAAAATGGATCCTTTAAAAGTTTAGTTGTGGATGTTTTAGCTCCAGGACACACGGCACCATTTCTCACGATAAATTCTCTCAAAGTGATATGTAGGAAATTAAAAAGTATGGACCCTAGGACTGTTCTCCCCACCAGAGATCCTGAGTTAATTGGTTTGGGATGGGGTCCTATTGTTAGTATTTCTGACAGTCTCCCCAGGGGCTGGAAATTCCTCAAAGAGATAGCCTGGACCACACAGCACTTCCTCCCCATGTTTACATCTATTCACCTTCCATGTCTAGGAGGTGATATACTTTCTCCCAGGAGCCTTCCTTCGTCATTCTAGTGGGGCAAAGGGCTTTGTTTCGATGCTCTCAAGGTTCCCCCTAGCATTACCTACTGCACTGTACAGGCCGAAATAATCATCTGTTTTCCCACTGGACCGTGTGTAAGATCGGTAACTGGGGCAGAGCAATGGCTCATACACACACACACACACACACACACACACACACACACACACAAAAGATCGGTTGCAAGAATAAAATCTGTCATTTGGGCAGTGACTTGAATTAAGAACTTCAGTACAGGGGCGCCTGGGTGGCGCAGTCGGTTAAGCGTCCGACTTCAGCCAGGTCACGATCTCACGGTCCGGGAGCTCGAGCCCCGCGTCGGGCTCTGGGCTGATGGCTCAGAGCCTGGAGCCTGTTTCCGATTCTGTGTCTCCCTCTCTCTCTGCCCCTCCCCCGTTCATGCTCTGTCTCTCTCTGTCCCAAAAATAAATAAACGTTGAAAAAAAAAAAATTAAAAAAAAAAAAAAAAAAAAAAAAAAAAAGAACTTCAGTACAGATGTGCCAAGGGCTAAATAAAGGACACTCACAAACCAATGGGGCTGCACCAAACAAACCCAGGAGTGAAACTGAAGGGCGCCCACTGGGCAAAATGTAGAACATGTGAGCATCAAAATGAATAATGATAGTGATAAATAATAACCAACTGAATCACAACAACCAGTGATGTTCACAGAGACCTAAGTAGGTAAATACATAGAGAGGGTGGAAGAGGAACTTTTCTTCAGAGTAGAATTCCAATTAGCAAGTGCAAAGAAACAAAAGAGCTTTATAAAAATCACCATTTTGTCCAAAGCAGTAATAATGGATCAGGCAGCTGAATGGATGCTGAAATTAACTGGGAAAGAGAATTAATAATGTCCAAGTACCCACATACCCCTGGCAGAAATGATTTATTACAAAGAGAGACAAAGTGATCAGAATTACCATCACTAGTAATGGAACAAACCAACATCATGTACCTACTAATGTAACGCTCTGTGAAAATCATCAGTTATTATTTTTTCCAAAGATGCAGAATCTCACATGGGCATTGTGAGGCATACTGTGCTCTTCAAAAATGTTAACATAATATGAACGACAAATAACTGGAACTGTTTTACTTTAAAGGACACCAAACGGACCATGGCTACATGCAGCATATAAACCTGGGATCGAGGGGGAAACGCTCTAAAGGGCATCACTGGGACAAATGGCAAAAGTCAAGTCAGGACTATGTCCTGGTTGAGAACATCATCAATGTTAGATTGCCCTAAATTTGATCAGTTTACTGAGGCTAAGAGCAGGCTCCTGTTTTGCAAAGACAGGGAGGAGGGAGGGAGGGAGGGAGAGAGACAGACAGAGAGAGAGAGAGAACACAAATGTGGTAAACATGTTAACTATTATTAGTGACTGTAGATGTGTATTAGTGTTTGTTTTATCCTGGCATTTTTCTCTTGATTTGAAAATTTTCAAGGTAAAGAGTTAAAGAAGTAATAAGGTAAAGATGTGTTTCTTGCCCTTTTTAATTTTTTTAAAGTTTATTTTTGAGAGAGGGAGAGCATGAGCACGGGAGGCGCAGAGAGAGAGGGAGGCAGAGGATCCAAAGCAGCCTCTGTGCTGACAGCAGAGAGCCCGAAACGGGGCTCGAACCCACGAACTATGAGATCATGATCTGAGCGGAAGTTGATGCTTAACCGGCTGAGCCAGCCAGGCACTCCACTTGCACTTTTTAAAAATTCTTGCATTCTTTTTTAAAATTTTTTCTTTAACATTTATTCATTTTTGAGAGAGAGAAAGAGAGAGTCAAAGCATGAGTGGGGGAGGGGCGGGGGAGAGAGGGAGACACAGAATCCGAAGCAGGCTCCAGGCTCTGAGCTGTCGGCACAGAGCTGTCAGCTGGGCTCGAACTCGTGGACCATGAGATCATGACCTGAGCCGAAGTTGGACGCTTAACCGACTGAGCCACCCAGGTGCCCTAGTGCTTTCTTAAAATACACCTGCAGGAAGCACACTGCGACTATATTTTCCCTCCTATATAAAGTTACTCGCTATAACTACATTTTAACTTTCAGGAAAGTAATTTTGAAGCACTGACATTCTGAATTCTTTTAAATAATTAGAGAAAACATTGCTAATTGGAATGAATCCAGTAAAAAGAAAAACAGCACGCTTTACCTATATTTAGTAAATTCAGGTCAAAAATGTCCATAATTTCACAAACTGTAGACAATGCAATAGTCTGCCCTAATTTGAGTGGACTATTTTTGTGCCTCAGTTTGGTGGAGGACTATGTAACAGATTTGTCTCAATATTTTGTTTTTAATGCTTCACAATCAGTACCATTTCTTCAGAACAGGAACCATTGGGGCCTCAGGCAACACAGAGGTTATTATCTCTTACCATTCTTAGGCCTTTAGCTGGTTTGTCTTTCTAAAATTTCATCTACTTATTGTCCAACAGCTTCTTGGCTATTGGTTTTTGTTTTAACATGTATGCTAGGAGAAGAGAGTAGTATCTTGCTACTGTGTTTTCTTTGTCCTACTTCCTCTCCTGTTTCAAGATGAAGGGAATGTTTGTAAACAGTTAATGACCTCACTTACTTCAATCCCTGCACACTACCAAAAGATTTCTCAGCCATCAGGAGTCTGTTTCCTTAATGAATATTTGATATTCATCAGTGAGATGATGGGAGTCCTTCTGTAGCTATGTCAGTCTCTAATGATGCACATAATCTGATTATCATAAATGGATTAGTGTGAAGGACATCAGGCCAGTGTTTGGACCTTGCTAAGGGCTAATTAGCAATTTCATCAACCAGCGGGTACCTACTGTGCCCCACCCTGGGCTCAACAGGGGAAACAGTTCTGAGACCCCAGGAAGGCAAGTTGTATGAAAGGTCTTGTTAAGGAAAATAAAATGTAATTTTATTATTCTGAGCTCTAGGAAGACTAGCCTGAGAGAGAGCTCTGAAAACTTGGTGGAATTTGCCCAGACACTATTCGGAGCATGATGAAGGTTATAGGTGAATATTTGTTCTGCTGATGATGTAGCTGATGTAAAACAGGTTAACTAATGATGGCTGAGTACGAAACGGAAAAATTCTCACTCACTGTTTCCCCTGACATTTGCACAGGTTTTTACCATGTTCGAACTGAACTGCTATGCATAATTTCATTTCTCCCTCAGATGACCCAGGAGCAGACAAGGCAGAAACCTATAATCTTGTGTCATACACGGGCCACTGAGGCTGAAGGGATGTGATCATATGGCTGACAGGAGACATGTAAGGAAGTGCCAGCGTGCAGACAAAAACACAAGTCTTCCATCTGACTCTGGTAACCCGCGCTTACACCTGTGCTTCTGTCAATATGCCCACAAATCACCGCAGATTCTAATGCAGTAGGTCTGGAACATTCTACGTTTCTAATGAGCTCCTGGGTGATGCCGATTACACTTTCAGTAGCAACACTTTGCCACTTGTTTTTTAATTCACTCAAACAACAACTCCTCAAAAACTAACTAAAAAACTATCTGAATCCTCTGATGTACTACCTAGAATGTAAAGTTTTCTTTTTTAACGATGCATGTAAAATGCAGAATTGGCCACTCAAAAGTCCCTGTTAAAAACAGTAGCTACTACTTCAAGAGAAATCTGGAGCAGCTAAAAGGCACTTGCCCTAATTAAATCCAGAGGTGGATTATTCATAATAAGTCTGCCTAACAGCCATTTTAAAATTATCTGGAATCTAATTTTTTGTCACATTTCCCCAGGCCCTGGAAATGGGAAATGAGAATACTAACTAGGTGGGAGTGAGAACACGGTCTGCTTCTCAGAGGCAGCAATCAAGGGCGCCCACAAGATGGCGCGCCAGGGTCGTCTGGCTACCTCACCACCGCCTTTGTACTGCGACCTGGCCGGCCTGGCTCTGGGGGAGCAGGGCCCTCCCTGCAGGGAGAAGCTGCCTGCTGTCGGTTATCTCATGCCCTGGATCAGGGAACCCTGCGGCACCCAGGAGGACCTGAGGCAGTCACCGCAGCTATCACAGCAACAGCTCATGTAGGTTGGTTTTTGTTTCCCAATTTTTGAAGCAGAGATGAAGAGACGGAAAAATCAGAAAACAGAAACGACCCTGCTTCCACAGGTGGAGAGCCCAGAAAATACGAGACTTTTACATTTCAGTCTACACTCGCGGTGGGGGAAAGGCAGAGCAAAGAACAGCAGGCTGGGTGACGGACAGAAGAAGGAAACATTAACCCCAGAAACCCGGGGGTCCGGGGTGGGGGGAGGGGGCAGCCCCTCTGAGTCTGAGGAGTGGTTTTAGGCCTGGAAATGTAGCTCCCGAGAACCCCTGAAAAGAGGTGATAGCTCAAGCAGAGTATCAAGAAATACAGCAAATGCTTAGGGACAAAAGGTTACCAACAAATGATGTCAATCCTCCTCAAGTGGTTAAGCTGTTGGGAGATGAGGGTATTTTACCAATATTTCACTGACTCCGCTCAAACACATTCATCAATGACTAGGAAGTCAGCATTTCCCTTTGGTTACTGAGCAATTCCTCAGGTCATTATCATAACTAAGACTTTGTGAGAGTGTGCCACACGCTAGATGACATTTTAATCACTTTATGATCCAATTTAACCCTTGATAGCTACACAGTTACAATCATTACTATTCCCAT